AGGTGTTCAAAGGTGTTTTTGAGTGTGTTCAAATGATTATGAGAGTGTTTTGAAGGTGTTCAAATGATGTGCAAGAGTACTTATGAAGGTGTTCTGGGAGTATTCAGAGGTGATTTGGGGGTGTTCGAATGATGTTTTTGGAGTATTTCAGTGTTTTTTGGAAAAATGTATAAAGGTATTTTTTGTGAGTATTCAAATGATTTATGAGAGTGTTTTGAAGATGTTCAAAGTAAAAGTGCGTATTTAACTTCGTAATATGTAAAATTGTGAGTAGTGAATTTAACGAAAGTGGATGTAAGCGATGTGGTGACTTTCTGATGCATGTGTCCCCTTATTAACTTTAATGAACTAAAAGGGTTAAAACGAGAAAAATTGGGGGTTATGAGTGAAAATTGTGAGGTGTTGGTTGGAGTGTGAGGGTTCGGGAGGGTGGGGAGGAGGTTACTTCGTGGGGGGAGTGACCTGAGATGAAATAGTTAAAAAATGTCTAGACTTGTGTTGTAAAGAAATTGTGAGTATTAACGAAAAAATGTGCCTTTCTGATGTACTGTGTCCCCTTATTAACTAAAAGGGTAGACAAGATTCAGCCTGTGTGCGCGTGACGTCACTGACATAGGGGGCGACCTGATTCAACCTGTGTGCTGGGTCAACACGTGACGTCACTGACCGCCGAGTAAACACCCTTCATTAGACCTGTAGTAAGCATGCCCCCATAGGAGGAGTCTATTTTGAATGCTTACCCCCAGAGGGGGGATTCCAAAAACTTTGATCCGAGGAATTTCGAAAACCCCATAGGGGGGAATCCAAAAAACTTGATCCAAGGAGATGGAGAATTTCGAAAACCCCATAGGGAGGAATCCAAAAAACTTGATCCGAGGAGATGGAGTCATGGTATTGTCGAGAAATTTTTGGGGTTGGGGGGTGAAAGTGGGAGGGTGATCCGAGGAAGTGGAGACTTTGATATTGAGAAATTTTTTGGGGATGGGGGGTGAAAGGAGGGGTACCCAAAAAACTTGATCCGAGGAATTGGAGAATTTCGAAAACCCCATAGGGGGGAATCCAAAAAAACTTGATCCGAGGAGATGGAGAATTTCGAAAACCCCATAGGGGGGAATCCAAAAAACTTGATCCGAGGAGATGGAGTCAGGGTATTGTCGAGAAAATTTGGGGTGAAAGGAGGGGTACCCAAAAATTTGATCCAAGGAGATGGAGACTTTGATTTCGAGAAAAAACTTGATCCGAGGAGATCATAAGAATTTCGAAACCCCCATAGGGGGGAATCCAAAAACTTGGTAATATCGAGAAATTTTGGGGTGGGGGTGAAAGTGAGAGGGGGAACCTTAAAAACTTGATCCGAGGAGATGGAGAGCACAAGAAAATGAAATTCAAAAAAAATTCGAAAAAAATCGGAAAAAAATTCGAGGCGCGGGGGCGATCCGGACGACGCTGCAGAAGGCGCAGCAGAAGGCGCGGGCGGGGCTCGCGAAGGGCGCGGGCGGGCGCGCGGGCGGGGCGGGGCGCGCGGGCGGGCGCGCGGGCGGGGGTCGCGAAGGGCGCGGGCGGGCCGCGGGCGCGCGGGCGCGCGGGGGCGGGGGTCGCGAAGGGGGGTCGTGGGCGGGGGTACTGGTGGGGGGGGTCAAGGGGGGAGGTAGTCTCGAGGGCGAGGTCATGTCAAAACCGGAAGTAAACCTAGGTGTGAAAAAGGTGACCCTCCAGCCGCTGGTCCTAGACCGGATACACCGCCCAGTGGAAGGCCTAAACCGGATACACCGCCCAGAGGAAGGCCCCTAAACCGGATACCCCCCCCAGCCGCATGCCTTTTTTCCGGAAGGAGCCCCCCAGCCGTTTTTTTTTGACTACTTATATATATAAATATTTAATATATATTATAAATAAAATATATTTTATATATATATAATATATATATATAAAATATATAAAATATATTATATATATATAATATATATGACCCCCAAAACCTCTCCAGGGATACTCCAGTGGTGACCTGTACTTAGCTCTGTGAAGATCTGTCAGTGTGTTCTCCGCGATCTGTCTAAGATATCCTCTCTTGAGCAACTCTACCAGCAGCTAAAAGAGGAGCTTAGGATTGCTGAGCTTGAAATACGGCGACTGATGGAGGAAAACAGAGGATTCGAACTAATCTTCCTGTTTTTGAGTTTCCCCAGGTCAAGAGAGGAACCTGGTCAGTGACCGGCCAACATGGAACGAAGCTCAAAATCAAGAAAGACGTTGGAGGCGGGAAGGAAACCAACGAAGATCCAGAAGACTGCTGTGGAGACTTCCACCCAGTTTTCAGTGTACCAGAGAATGTGTGTTGTCTACTGGAACGTTTCGCTATGAGTACCAAGGGAATCATGACAGAGAGAGAGTGAGTCGACATCCCTTTAAATCAAAACGAAGACCATCGAAAAGTTCTTACGAACTCCACAGTGAAGGTAGAATTTGTTTTAGTTGGGGACCGTTCAAGTGAATTTATGGATTGGGCTTTTTGTCTTAGGGACAGGAAGAGGAGGCAGAGGGTATGTTTTTGGGGTGGGACTTTGGGGATGGGGGTTATCGTTAGACGTCTGGAACGAAATCATGAATGGTAATGGGAGCACTCCCTATTATCTGCCTCAGTGGGGATGCAACGATGTTGGCCGACATAGGAGTGAAGCCTGATTAGACTGGTAAGGACAGCAATTGGAAGATAATTAGAAGAAAGGTGGAGGAGACCTGTGATCTGTGGCATTTTGCCAGGGAGGAGTTGGAAATGAATGGTTGTCCCGGGCAAATTGGTGTCAACTGCTGGCTGGACAAACACTGTAAGGAAAATTCAGAATGACATTCCCATAGACAACGGGACTCTTCTATGCAGAATGACATGTATGCCAGGATGGGGTTACTTATCTAGGGTTTGGGGTTGGAGGCACTGGCTAAACGCAGTGGACGGGAGTGTTAGGTCTTTAAACTAGAAATAGAAGTGGTATGGGTTGTTTTCGTGTAAAGTCAAGGTATTCTGAGTGTAGCGACAGTGTGAGTTTTAAGGTAAACAGTTATGAAGAATGAGGAGAATTATTGTTGAATATAGAAAGCCAGTGGCATTAGGTGATTAAGGAGAGTAAAAGGCATAATTGAGGAACAAGTAATTAGCGGAAGTAAAAAGAGAAGGGAGGGTTTCTGAAAATATATTATAACTAACAGTCCGTAGTGCGAG